GTTTGCAAACTGGGGAGTGAAAATGTGGGAAGGTAGAGTAAAGCATTAGCAACAAAATGCAGGGTGTTTTAACCTCAAGGATCAAAGGGAACAGGAAGGTGGTAATGCCAGTGAACAGTGCAGCTAATGGACCCAGCTGAGATGGCTCAGAACCTTGAGGATGGGCAATATTGAAAGAGATATAAGAGGCAGGTTAGGACCTGGGTGAGCATGGTGCAGAGGGCACAGGGTCTGCTGTGGTTGCCCCTACCAGGGGAAGGGACTAGGTACTTGGCAGTGGCAAGAAGGGGTGGAGTCCTCTTTCTTGCTTTACACATTCACAAGCCTGCATAAACACATCTCCAGCCTGTCTCCCAGCAGGCCCCAGGATCACAGTTGAGTCTTCCAACCATGGTGCCACCACACTGGACCAGGACAGCTACAGCAACACACAAATAGTGTTAAGCCCAGCCTTAGGGGGCGTGGCCGCCTCGGGCGAATGTTTACCTATAAATCTGCCCAGCGGGCATGCAGCCACCCTTCTGCTTCCTGTTCTCCGCAGGAACCGTGGTACTGTAAGTCTAATTTCCCCATTAAAGCTGTGTATATATTTTACAATCTGTTTGTGTTCATTTACGCCGTTACATTTTGGCTCCAACATCGGGCAATCTTTGCACGGGAGGGGGGGGCGGGCGCAAGCTTGCCTTTGAGAGCAAGATTAGGCTACCGGAGTTCAGGAAGCGTGCATTCAAGTGCGTTGCCCGCTAAGGTTCCGCTTTTTAGTTCGTGACTCGTGACTCGGGCCCCAGTGCCGAGTCTGAGAGTCTGAGATACACTGGGCCACACACGCCCATTCCACCCCACCTGCTCGCCTGCTTGCGGAGCTATGGAGCTATTAACCCCTCCCTGCCTGCTTTGGCGTTTGGAGCGGAACCCCGGAAGCTCAAGTACCTGTGGTTTTGCAACAAAAGCCGCCACAGCAGCAGATTTGGTCTGATTCAAAGTGACCCCTTCCGTGACCACTCTAACTCCTCAGGCAGAACAATAAATTAAGGTTTTGAGTTGTTTCAGACCGGCTCTCCACGTGGACTCAAGTGGACTCTTTCGCCACCACTGGCAGGAACCGGTCATTGCAGGTAAAAAAAAATTCTTTTATAAATAAAATGTCTGAAAACGTTACAATTCAGGACTTTAACAGATTTTTGACCAGGAACACATGCACTATGCACACATGCACACAAACACACAGTGGCTGGAATTCCATCAGCTACACTATAATTTCAATCTCTGTAAGCATCAGACACCTTGACCAATGACCAAAATGATCAGCCTCAGCCACACTGACCACCTCACCCAAATGTCAGGATACACAGGAGGCAGAGGCAGTCCACATAGGGAGGAATGCCAAGTTCACTGTGGAAGCACTGAGGGATGGAGGTTGAGCATCTACAAGCACCTAGCAGCAAATCTTGGGATAAGACAGATAAGCAGGTCATAAGCTTTCTTCAGTGGCTGGATAACTACACCTTTGGGCTTTGAATGCTACACCTAAATGTGATGAATTTCACAGAGAATCTAGAATTATATTTCACATTGTAATCTACACAGTAATTAATACCTCTTGATTTCCTCCAACTTTTGTTTCCTCCTATATGGGGAAGGGAACACAGGCAGGTATCTCAAAAACAATACTAAGAACACAGAGGCTTAGACAACACAAAGTCAGCCTGCCTGTAGAGTCTTGAAATGCTCGTGCTCCTTCCTCCCTGCCAGCATCAGGATGTGGCCACTGTGCTCTACAGAGCATCCTGACTCTCCTGGTTCCCAGGAATGCTGGATTGGGACTAAATAGATCAGGAGGTAGTGGGGACAGCTCCATCTTGGCATCTTTGCTGTGCTCCAAAGCTGGGGCACATGGCTGTAGTGGGTCTACTCCTGGACCTTGCAAAGTCTTTGTTTTCTACTTTCACTGCCTACAGGTCTCAAAAGCCCAAGTGACAGACGACAAACAGCTCCTCAGCATGTTGCATTACCAATGAATTCAGGAGAACGTGACTGAAGTATAAGTGTGGCCACCTAGAAATCTCTGTATTCATCTCCTAATCAAATAAAACCAAGATACATACATGGTGGCAGCATCCTGTGAGCTACATAGTCCCTGCACCACAGAGAACAAACCAACATCACGTCCTCAGTTACTAACTGATGAACCAGAGAAAGACACAATCCACAGGGCAGTGGAATTGACTGTGAGGGCTGGGAGACAGCATGGATGGAAAACACAAAGCTCTGTAAAGGTCTAGGTGAGAAACAAGATGCTAAGAATGACCAGGACATGTTTCAGAGACAGAACTCAAGCTACACTGAGGAGAGATGATACTGAGATAACTGGTTCTGAAAGACTCAGGAAGAGCTGTTAGAGACCTCTAAAAAGATAAAAGAGAGAAACAGCAGGGCTTTGAGACCCCTTCTGAAACTGCTCATGCTCTTTATTGGTTTGGGTCATCCTTGAGAACAGAAAACTTTTTGGCAAAGCTGTACAAAATCCACATGGGGTTCCTCCCCATATCTCTGGGCTGTGGACTCATGCTGGCCACAGTAAGGCATTCCTCAGCAGACTCTCCAACCTTACCTCACCTTCTGAGGTGACAGCAGCTGTGAAATCAGGAGGGGAGCATGGCGGCCTCAGCTGGGGAGGGCTTTAGGGAGCTCGGTCAATCAGGGAGTATGCTGAGACTCAGTTCCCTTCTTTGTCCAGTGGTGAGGAAGAAGGATGGGGCTGAATGGACTGAGACTTGTTGCCCTGCTCTTCTGAGTCTGACTTTGTCTTGTTGCTGACTACAGCCAGGCACCAAGTGCCATCTAGTGGCTCCACTTCTCCACTCTCACGACAGCCTGCTGAGAAGACCCAGAAGAGTGGAGCAGGCCAGCTCCAAGGAGGAAGGCAGGGGAGCACACACCATGTGAGTGGACAGAACAGATCACCTCAAGAAAATATACTTTAAGAGGAAGCAACTCCTTTTTTATTTTTTAATTTTATTTAGAAAGGCCAACCATATTCATTTGTCCATTTTTCTTCAGCTTTAAGGAAAATAGTTTTAAAAACATAAAGTTGTAAATACACTCAAGAGTAACTGCTATTAAACAGTTCTGAACAGGCAGAAAATGTACTTTTCTTTTACAGAAAATGTTAAATCTGTAATAGCAGCATAATTTATATATAGAAAAAGCTGGCTTTGAAAATCCAGACATTTGTATACATAAAACACATCCTTTCCTTTTCATACACAGAGCAGCACTGTGCACTCCGGAAGGTTTCTTTCCACTATGGTACTCCACAGTAGGCAGCTCTCTCTGGTCCCCAGCCTTCAGTCCAGTACCAGGGCAGAAAGGGCATTCAGGTCTTTCATGTATGGATGAGCTACCAGGGTCTGGTTGATCTTCAGCTTTTGCTCAGAGTCAGGGAAGATCTTCAGCAGTGCCTCCCTCGGGTCACTGGTATCTGTGGAAGATCTCTGTGCTGGCATGAGAGAGTTCTGCTGTATTCTGGGAACGGTGGCCAGGGGTGTGAAGTGGGGCTGCTGAGGAAGCCAAGAGCCTGAAGAGGCTCCCTGGCTCTGGGATGGAGGCCGGTGGCTGGTGTTGGTTACTTGGGTAGTGGGGCTCCAGAACGAGCCCACATTTGGCAGGGCATTGAGTAGCAGTGCATGTGTCTATACATGAAATGACCATGGTGAGAACGCAGTGAGAAACTCTGTAAAGCACATATGGCTGACACTCAGGATCTAGATGCTAGGTAGTTCCATGTTTTCTGAAGGCCAGAGAGCCAAGGGGATGTAAAATCAGCCCCCACACAGCGTGGAGTTAAATGGCCAAGTGGACCCAGGGTAAGCCACTGGGCAGCCTGAGAAACAGCCTAAAGAAGGAACTTCTGAAGAATAAACCATAGGAAACAGTAAAGCATAATGTATTGTGTAGGAAATTGATTGCTTGCTTTATGAAACAAAGTGGGATTAGAATGCATGGCTACAGTTACTAATGCTCTGCTGCAGGACATCAATAGAGCTGCTTTTTCAGGCTAGAGAGATGTGATGCCATAATCAGAACACGCTTCCCCATTATTCCAGCATCAAATGCAAATTCATCATCGGCCTTACTTCTCATAACTACAGTGTTTCCTGCCTTGGGCTGGCAGAGAAGCCTGGCAGAATAGTGTTTGCCTAGGCAGTGACTTAGACTCCACCTTATTTGTGATTTCTATAGCAATTACCATAGCTATGAGGTAAGATTTTACTACTGTCTTATTTAAATTTTATGAATCTGACTGTTTTTTACACTAATTTTCCCAATAAAGTCCACTATGAAACCAAAGAAAAAAAAAATCAGCCCCCACAGCGTGGCCTATAGAGCACATGGCACCATTTCCAGACCAATGAGGGAACAAGAGCCCCTGGGATGGACAGTCCCTCCCCAGTTTACTGTCTGAGGGTGGCCCATGGTGGTTGGTTCTGCAATGTTCCTGCTCTTCTGGGGGGTTTTGTTCTAGGCAGTTGCAGCTGACTGGGAAGAGTTGCCTCTGGGCAAAGAGGCAACTCCAAGAGGCTCCTGGAATCCCTGTCTCCAGTGAGGTCTGGATGGGGCGTGTGCACTCTCAATGCATATGCACATGGTGTTGCATAAGCATCCAGGGGACACCTGTCCTGCTTAGAAACTTTTGCCAATTTTAGCTGCAGCTGAGAACTGGGGCTAATAGTGTCATCAACATCAGAAGCTTGACAACCTGCAAATGCTACATTAACATTAGCGGTATCCACTCAAGAAAGAGTGATGGCTAGAGGTCACCAAGCATTTGAAGATGACACTAGGTGAGAGGAAAAATGACAAGCAGGCCTGATCCTGCCACCAGGCTACTGAAGGAATGGAACAGGTAGCAAAGAATTCACCTCTAGTATGACCTGGGGCTCGACTCATCATAGGACACACACACACAACCTCAAACACAGGCCTTGAGGCCTGAAATGTGGCAGGAGGCCATAAAACACCTCAGAGAAAAAAGATGTAATTAACCCAGCTAACTTCCCTGGGATTTCCCAGCAACACTTCGCATATTTGTTTCAAGCAGACTGAAGAGAAAGCATGCCTACTCCGGAAGATAAGGAAAGACAGTGGGGTTTTTATAAAGTATGCGCTCGTATACATACGTGTTCTACACATCACCAATGAGCCTCAAACCAACACTGTAATCTACATATCAAACAAAGTTAAAGAAGAGCCATATAACCCATCGGCATGGACTTCTGTTTTCTGTGCCGTCACAGTGAAGTAAGAGCAATGAAATCTGATAGGTACAAACCATCATGGATGCTTTCTGTAATCTGTGTGAAGAGACGAAATGAATGTAACACAAGATAGATGCATAAAATAAATTCTGTAGGCCAACAAAAAATGGGGTTTAGAACAGCTGTGTCACTTTCCAACGCAAAACAAACCCAGTGAGTGGGGAAGGAAGTCTTCAGTCTCAGATAAGGCTCAACATGAATTGAACATGTATTAACACGACATAGAGGACTCTTTCAGACAAACACACACACACACACACACACACACACACACACACACACACAAAAATCCTCAGAAAGTCGATTTCATAAATTTTAGGATTCTAACTTGTCATGGTAAGTACTAAAGGAAATTCCAGGCAGAGTTCTAGCTACTAATGCCATTGACATCTCATTAGACAACGGGACCATCAAGCCATTCCTCCGACTGGGAAGAGTTGAACTATCTCCTTGTAGTAGTACAGCTAGAATTACATGGTGCCTCTCACTTTGCACATCTTCCAAAGAAAACACTCTCATGGCTTTTGTTGTGAGCCTAGCCTTTAACAACTGGGCCATCTTTCCAGCCCAAGAAAACACTCTTAATGAAGCAGAGTTTGAATAAAACAGAATTTGAATGGCACCAGCACACAGAATCAAGCCAAGGCTTAGCCTTCTAGCAAGAGGGTTGCGTTAATTACAGGAAACACTGTGGCTAGACATAGTCCTAGCATTGCTACTTTCAGAAAACCATACTCATGAACTTTAAAGTTCACCTTTAATGAACATAAATATTTTAATTTATGTCCAATGATTCTGATCTCATTTTGAAAGGAATTCTCCCCGGACCAAAAAGCACTGTATTTTAGGGACTCATTCCAAAATAAGTATATCAATGGAAATAATTTCTTTGGATCACAAATCAGAATTCAAAGGCATTTTGAAAATGACCCCACAGCAAGGGAAAGACAGGTAACAAACACAGCCAAAGATGACTCCCCAGTGGACCATAGATAATTCACAATCACAGATACATCCAAATCTCCATTTCAACCCCTGCCTTCCACACCCATCTGCAGCACATTGCATAATTGGGGCTCTGTCTCCTTTGGCTGCCTTCCTTGGTGATCCACATGCTAATGGTTCAAGCTAGGGTTTCTATTGCTGTGAAGAATCACCATGACAAAAACAAGGTGGGGAGGAAAGGGTTTGTTTGGCTTATACTTCCCTATCACTGTTCATCACTGAAGGAAGTCAGGACAGGAACTCACACAGAGCAGGAACCTGGAGACAGGAGCTAATGCAGAGGCCATGGGGGGAGCTGCTTATTAGCTTGCTTGTTTTCAAAGGGTGAGTACCTTATCATCTTGGCAGGAGCATGGTAGGAACTTGAAGGTGCTCATGATGCTAGAGCCCTAGCTAAGAGCTACATCCTGATCCACGGGTAGAGAGAGAAAGACTGGGTCTAGCATGGCTTTTGAAACCTCAAAGCCCAGCCCCTCAATGAAACACTTCCTCCAACAAGATCACACTTACTCCAATCAGGCCACACCTCCCAATCCTTCTAATCCTCCCAAACAGTTCCACTTCCTGGTGCTAAACAAATAAATGAGTCTATGGGGTCTATTCTCATTCAATCACTACACTAAAAGCCAGGGAAATCACTTAACCCAGATTACAAAACAAAGTCACTGGGTGAAGAGAGCCCAAATACCCTCCAGTCAAACTGGCCAGCAGGTTTCCCATCAGAAAGAGCTCCACCAACTTTCAAGAAGACGGAACTGGCACAGACCACGGACACATTCCTGCACACATTCCCAGAGCAAAAATCTATCAGAAGAGTAACATTCACACAGCCTGCGTTGGGGCGTACGTTTCTCCAGAATCCACTGGATCTGTGGCATCAGGATGCTACTTAGAATTCAGTCCGACCGGCCGGGCGGTGGTGGTGCACGCCTTTAATCCCAGCACTCGGGAGGCAGAGGCAGGCGGATCTCTGTGAGTTCGAGACCAGCCTGGTCTACAAGAGCTAGTTCCAGGACAGGCTCCAAAACCACAGAGAAACCCTGTCTCGAAAAACTTAAAAACAAAAAAACAAAAAAAAAAAAAAAGAATTCAGTCCGACCATGTTGTAGCAGAGCTTCCTGCCCCAGCCTGGGTTGCATATCTGAGCTGGGGGCATCATCGTTTACTGAGTCACACAGCCACTGGCTTTACCTGGGTCTTCTCCGTCTATTTGGATCCACTTCTTTTCTATTTCAACCTGTTAGAAGAAATCAAAGCACTGACAGTGTTAGAGACAAGACAGACACCAGCTCTTTGGTAGGTTTACACCTGATGAGACACCGGCTACCTACCCTGTGGACACAGACACAGCCCCTCCATTCATCCACACCAGCTCAATAGTGAGGCACTCTTGTTTTGTGGGAACCAAGTTCCCAATCCTTCCTTCTAGAATCAAACCTGAAGCTCTCTGAAGTCATAGCTTTCATCACAATTTTTATTTTAAATCTGCCATGCTCTGGGAAGCTGACATGGAGTGTCCCTACAGAGGGACATTCAGTGGTCCTTAAGTGACTGCATTTCCCCATCACTGGAACAAGCTGACCCAAGAGTAAACAAGACCAGGGCAAAGCCAGTTTTCTGAAGTATAGTTCCAGACTGCTGGGGCAGGAGGTGGGGTAGCCTTTAGGGGAGGGGAAAGGACAATGTGCCAGCTGCCCCTCACTAACATTATCAGTAGGGAAAGACATCAGTGGGGCCACACATACAGATTTCTCAAGAGCTGTCAATGGTGACCACTAAATTTCCATGACTGAGCTCTGAGCCTTCTTGAATATCACTGGAGAGAGAAATGTGAGGGGAGAGATAGACAGTCAGACATCCAGACAGATAGACTGACTGATTCTTAAGGGGAAAACTGAGTATTTGCAGCCAGGCCAGGCCCCACCCCAGATCTAGAAACCCTAACTTGAACCAAGGCACTGAGGATACCTGGATGTTGTAGCAAGCCCGCAGACACGTGTGCTTCTGAGGCTGGACATCACTCTCCACTCCCAGAGACCTCACCTCTGTCCTCGAGGCTGAGGCTTCAGGCACTGAGAACTGGACAGTAGCAAATGGATACCAATCCAAGGGAATCTCCTGGTCTGATCCAAGTTCTAGCTTGTATGACAGACAATGGGGCTGATCAGGACCTAAAAGAAGCCAAACCAGAGCATTGGAATGATGCGAAGGCAAAGCATAGTTTACAGCACGCGCTTCTCCCTACAGTGATGGCTCCACCAGCAGACACAACTGGGCACCAAGTGGGAAGAACCCAGAGCCTTGCCTGAATTCCTGAAGTAGCATTCCTGTCCCCACACAGATCAACTCTAAAAATGGCTTCAGTCACAAATGTTACAAAGGTTCTCTGACCCAAAGATAAGGACAATATTTCTATGACTGCAGTGTGATTCGGGCCCCTAGAAACCTCTGTCCTGTGCAGACGGAATAAACTCCAATAATTCCCAGTCACTGTTTCCAACCAGGGTTTATTTTTAGATAATGCAAAGACAGACTTCAAATGAGATTATACAGTTTCAAAAGCCTGACTTTCCAAAGTTAGGCTTGGAGTTTTGACACAGTACTTTTCTGTTGTAGTAGAATGGATTCTCTTACTCCTGAAATTCCCTCTCTTTGTCCCAGGAAGTATTTACTAGAACAGATTACAGCAGAGAGACGGGCAGACCAGCCTTCAGTATTTCCACTTGTTCTCGTCGAAGCGAATTGTTATGGTGAGCTACCCGACGTTGTGCCCGGCCCTGTGCTAGACCCAGGGGTACTAGGTCTACTCAGAAAATTGAGGTGGGGGTTACATAGCATTTGCGAGGGAAGGGAGTTTTAATGGATTAATATTTTGGAGCCAGGCACACACCTGCAATGCCAGCATTAAAGAGGACTGGGGTGTGAGGTCATTCTAGACTACATCTGAGTTTGAGGCCAGCCTAAAACCTCACCTCAAAACTAACAACCAAAACAGTAAAATGTGTGTTGCTATAGAAACCCCACAAATGTCCCATGTCCTCGCGCATTGTTTATAGCACCTAATCGATCCAATTTAATCTATCTTTAAATAAAAGTAACTTTAAAAAAATAAAGCAGTAATTTCAAAAGCCAGATTAAATTCCTGTGCCACTGAGACAACTCAATAAAAAAACATTTTTCATCAGAGGATAGCCCTAGGCACAAAAACACAAGTTTAAAAGATTTTGCTTGAATTGATTTTAAAAGATAAATCGCCTTTCGTTCCTTGCAACCTGTTTCTGGTAGGGAGACAGATCAGGTTCTGAAGCTGTAAAAGGCCTAGAAAAGTCACCCATCAATCAGCCAGCCGATACTCGTCCACAGCACCAACACAGAGGATGGGATGATGGTGGCCTCCGAGGGGCCATAGGCTCCCAGCAGCAGCCAGGACGCCTACACTCAGTTATGGCTTTTCTGTTCAATTACTGTTTTAGAACACGAATTCTAAGCCCAGCTCTGCTACTTAAGAGCTGTGTGACCCTAGGCAAGCTACCTAACTCTCGGCATCTCAGTTTTCCCAATGAAGTCTTACAAGGCTGTTGTGAGGATAGACAACCAGCATAAGTACACGGCAGAGACAAGCTGAACTTAACCCTTGCCAGTCAGGGAACTGTGTATTCTACATATTTAGACTTAAAAAAAAAAAGACAATGAAGTTTACTTAATTTGATGTTTACATTGTACAGGAAAAATTTCTTAGGGAAGCTTCCCACTGAAAACGGGAATACATTTGAGTTAAAGACGTTAATACTTTTTAAATGATAGAAACGACACTTTTTTTTCCTAAAAAGCTGCTGATGAAATCATTTTTCTCCCAAGTTTTCTGGTGTCTTTTTCCAGGCTTTTGGCCACTCTATGGTGTTTACTAATAAACTCTCATTCAAACTTTGAGCTGAGGAGACCAGGTTCAGTGCCTAAAAGACACTTGTCAATCTTAGAAATGATAGAAAAGTCGGTTGTCTCGGTACCGACCACGAGAGGGCACTGTCGGGCCTTAGTAATTACTCTTTCGGCGTAGCTCCTTAGCTCAGGACTGGCAGAGCAGACCACAAAGTCTTCTCAGGCCTGGTTGATACCCAGTCTCTCCTGACCCAACGGATTCCACATCTGAAGCTGAGCTACTGAGAGCAGAAAACAATGGATGTAGGAGGACCAAATCGCGAGGCAAAGAACCAAGGTGCTGGTGGCAAAGAGCGAAGCAGAAAGGCACCTGTGGGAACCGAAAGCTACAGCTGCTGGTGAGTTTCACTCCGGCACCCCTTTCTAAATCGCCATGGCTATGCGTCTCACTCCGGCACCCCTCTCTAAATGCCCGTGGCTACCATTGTCTCCAGTGTCTTTCTCTCCCACTCTGTCCTCCTTGATGAACGAGCTCTTTTGCTTTTCATCTGCTAGCACTCTAGCAGAACACTGGGGTATGAAGATGAATTGGGGGCAAACATGGGGGACTCTGATTTGATGAATCCATCCAGATGTTTGTTATTCAGCCAGATCTTTCCTGTGTACATCTGCCTAGTGTAGGTGATAAAGAACAGCCACATACCCATTTCAAGGTCCCCAAGAACCTTCAGTGCCCTTGGGCTTCTCCTCCATGCTATGAACAACAAAGGAAGCGCTTTGACTAGAGAGAGAGAGAGAGCTAAGGGATTTTGAACAGCTGACTATTTCAAATAACCTCAATATCAAGTTCCTATCATGCAGATTACATCAGCATCCCTGGGAAGGCTCCAGGGCCCAGTATGTTTGAATCACTCCCCAGGAGAACCTCATATGTTCCCAGGGGGAGGACCACTTCCCTACAGACCTGAATGATGTACCCAGGAAAATCGGGTCCAGCCTATGGTGAACCTGCCTCCTGGACTGGTCCTTGCCTGTGACTTGCAGCTTGCTGACATAACCAAGGAGAGTTTGAGCTACAGATGGGATACCAGACACCAACTTGGGAGACTGAGAAGCGAAACCACTCTGGGCAGAAAGGGTCCTCAGCCTGTTATCCTCCCAGGTACCTCACACTGTCATTCACAGATGCCACATTCCACTCAGCCATGATGTGACTCTCATCAGTCACAATATTTGCCCATGATGTGGCCAAGAGAGCTCAGCGCAAGGTGAGACGGTGTGGTATAGTTTGGTCACAATGGCCTGTGATGGTATGGGTTGCTCAGCTCCCATGCGGTGGAAATGTCAGTGAGTGACAGAATCCAGAGATCATACATTTGGTTGTCCACTAACTAGGCTGCTGAAGCAGCTTAAACCTTCTGTGTGTCATGTGGGGGAAGCTAGTATGAAGATCTTTTTTTGGTTTTGTTTTTTGTTTGTTTGCTTTAGTTTTTGAGACAAGGTTTCTCTGTAGTTTTGGTGCCTGTCCTGGAACTAGCTCTTGTAGACCAGGCTGGCCTCGAACTCACAGAGATCCACCTGCCTCTGCCTCCCAAGTGCTGGGATTAAAGGAGCACGCCACCACTGCTGGCTTCAGTTTGAAGATCTTAATAACATATTCTCCAAAGTTGATTTTGAAATCTATTTGCCCTTTTTTAATCTCATATATACACAAAATCAGAAACTTGGCTCTCATTTTTACAAAAACAGGAAAGCAGGGAGGTGGCTGTGTATTTGGGAACCTCCTGGACCCAGAGACCACCTCTGAGGGCTGAATGACACCCTGATTTCTGCCTTTTTTCCATTGGTGCTAAGACAGCCTCTGGGACCAGACATGGTGTCTGTGTGGATTGGAAGCAGTAACTGTGCATTTCTAATGAAAACTATCCCATCTATAGCACTGCCTTTTCCAAGAATCCCTGGCAGAAACTGACTGGATCAGCGAGAATGGATCGTGAGAGGAGGACCCAGTCCTTCACGCCTTCTGTCCACAAATTTACATTGCTTTCCTCCAGGAAATTCCATCCAGCTCTGTGATGGATGCTTGAGAGACTCAGACCCACTCGTGACCCCAGGTCACCAGAAATGGAACTGGAACTGCCCAGGAGGTGAAACCAACCCAGAGGCACCGTGAGAAGGCTGGACCAGCCTGTCCACAATGAACAGCATCAACTACAGAGTCCCAGAGAATGAGATGCTGCTGCACCTGGGAGCCAGAGGAGACCACCCTTCTTCTTCCTCCCTCCCTCCCTCCCTGCCTTCCTTCTCTCCTCCATTCCTGTAAACATTCCCTTTACCTTTTTTTTTTTTTTTTTTTAGTTTTTCGAGACAGGGTTTCTCTGTAGCTTTGGAGCTTGTCCTGGCACTAGCTCTTGTAGACCAGGCTGGCCTCGAACTCACAGAGATCCGCCTGCCTCTGCCTCCCGAGTGCTGGGATTAAAGGCGTGCGCCACCACCGCCCACCACAGAAAATCTCTAAACTAGGCGGGAGAGGTTAAACTCACTGGGTAGAGTTAAACACAGAAAACAAACAACGCAGCCATTAGGCTCGTCGTCCCCTCCCGCCTGGCTGTGCTGGCGCACCCTCAGCCCCTTGTCTGCGCCCGCCCCCCCCCTGCCTCTGCCCAATTTGGCCCAGGATGTAGGGAGCTACACTGAGCATTTTCCTACGAAAATCAACCCAGGCCTTGGATATTTACTTGAGTTTTTGTCCGGAAGCCGATCTATCTTCCACACCACAGCCCGGTAGGCGCTCTCATATTTTGCTGACCCCACAGTGACCTGAATGACAGGTTCAGATTCAGGTTCCTGTAAACTCCCCAGACATGCCCGACGGTTCATTTTGGCTTTCAGGGATTTCTGCCTCTGAAGGTTCCTGGTCCAGAGGGCCTTGATCCATTGGGCTGGGACAGGAAAGTGAATCATGATATTGTCACAACACCTCAAGGAACTGGCATGGGGTGACCTCTGAGGCCCCGGGGTCATGTTGACAAAGGCCTGAAGTTCCACATAAGCCCCCTGTACAGCCACTGTGGACTTCACGGAAAAGGGAAGCTCATCCCCTTCATACGACGTTTTAAACCGCATCAGTTCAAAACGGCAAGCATCCAGAGGGACAAATTTAATGATTCTGGACTGTTTGAATTCTTCAGCTTTCACACATGCATGGAAATGGTAGTTAAGAATCTCGATCCCCCTTTTTTCTGGTTCTTTCTCAAAATAGCATTCATCTCGTTTCTGGAGTTCAAGGTCATTCAAGGTTAAGAAGCATTCTGCCGCCCCGTTCACAAAGCAGAGGCAGGAGATCTGAGTCATTACAGCCCTGTCAGCCAGTTTCCCATCTTCCTTGCTTACTCTACCCCAAAAGTTGTCCACAATATCCAGGTAAATTTCTTGTTCCTCGTAGTTCTTCTTTGGTTTCGCAACAGCTGGCAGCTTTATCAGCTCTTCCTCCACAGTAGTCAGGAACTCAAGGAAATCCCTGTGCTCCGTGGTCCCCAACTTCAGCATCTGTTCTACATCAGGCTCGTGAACCACCTCCGTCTTGGAATGGTATTTCCTTTTCTCTGAATAAGACACATGTTCCACCTTCACGGTGTGGATTTTTCCCGCCATGTTGAAGTTCTCGAGTTTGGGTTCAGAAAGTCTGCAATGTGGATCAAGCTGGAACTCTTTGAACGGCTTTTCCAGCCCCTCCTCATAGTACATTTGCAGAATCCCTCCTGGCAGAACCTTTAGGAAAATGGGTCCCCACTGCCTGGAAGACATCATGTTTTTCTTCTCAGGAATCCTCAGCATGAAGGACCATCCGGCTTTGGGCTGACTCCGGAAGAGCGTGTGCGGCACAAAAGAAGAAGCCACGTCTCCAGCACTCAGACTCCTCATAGACACATTTCCCAGAGGGCCCTGGGTCTCGGCCGACTGCAGGTGTTCTAGCTTCTCACAGATGTAGTTGAGTGAGCACTGGTTAAGGCTTTTTTGATCCATGGGAACTTCCTTGTCTCTTGAGGAAAACAGCTTTCTGCTTGCCAGGGAGTCAAAGGGGAACTGAGAAGTGCTACCTTCATCTTTCCAAAATGGGCTGGAAAACGCACAGTCATCTCGAAAAGACTCAAACTGTAGTGCCTCCCCGCGGGCCCGCTGAGGGCTGCTGTCATCTTCAAGACCAGCTCTGGGAGGCAGCTGGGAGCAGGAGTGCTCACTGGGCAGTTGTGCATGGGGTAAGCTGCTTGGCTTGGTGAGTGACAACGGAGGACCTGCTCCTGCTGCTGTTGTCGGGAGGCTGCTTGAAGAACATTCTGGAATAGGATAAAGCACATGAGACCCTGCTTTAGGCATGCCGGGGAAGCCCGGGAAGTCTTTGGTGGGTGTAGAAAGAGGAGAATTGCTTGGAGGTCCCGGGCTGAAGTAAAAGTCAACCATGGGAGAGGATAGGGGGGTGCTGCTGGTGGAGGAGGAAGCACTAGGAAGGTCCCTGAGGCCCGGCAGGTTCAGCTTCAGTCCATTTGGTCTGCAAACACCTTGGGTCTCCAGAGGGAAATCCTTCGCCTTCTGAGAAGACGGAAAAGCAGGGTCATCGTCGAAGGTGACCCAGCCGCCTGGGTTTGTAGAACACATCTTCAGGGCGGGCTTGTGGTCTGGTCAAAGAGTCAGGGGCATTATCTCTACAAAGGAGAAAGACAAAGTCAGATAAAGTAAGTGTTAAAAAACAAAATACAGTGGTGCACACACCACCCAGCACTCGGGAAGCAAGTGGATCTCTGTGAGTCTGAGGCCAGCCTGGTCTACAGAACAAGTTCCAAGACAGGCTCCAAAGCTACCTTGTCTTGAAAACAAAGCAAAACAAAAAAGCAAGATACACTTGGCGGTGGTAGCACATACCTTTAATCCCAGCACTCAGGAAGCAGAGACCGGCAGATCTCTGTGAGTTCAAGGCCAACCTGGTCTACCAAGTAAATTCCAGGGCTAGGGCTGTTACACAGAGAAACCCTATTTCAGAAAGAAAGAAAGAAAGAAAGAAAGAAAGAAAGAAAGAAAGAGGAAAAAGAAAAAAACTTTACAAGTAGCCATTCTTGACAGATAAGTGAACAAAAACAAGAAGCCTAACTCTATGGGTCCCCCTAGAGATTTGCTTTAGTTAAGAACACATCATCCAAAAATGAAAAATGAAGGAAGGGAAATGGAAATCAAAGTAGAGTGTGGAGGTCAGAGGCCAGAGTGTGTGTCTGAACTGTCCCCAAAAGAGACCAGACTATGTGTCTGAACTGTCCCCCAGAATAGACCAGACTGTGTGTCTGAACTGTCCCCAAGAGCACATGCACTGGAGGAAAAAATGTCCTCAGTCCCTGACACAATGGAGACTTTAGGAAGGAGAGCCTAATGGAAGGAAGTTGGGTCACTGGAGGGTGGACTCCTTAGGGGAATATGGGAATCCACCTTCTCCCCTGACGCTGTGAGGTGGCTGGGTTACCTCCTTTCCGTACTCCCATTATGATGCTCTCGAAGCCATGGGCCAGTTGGCCATAGACTTATACCTTTAAAACCATGAATCAAAACAGGTCCTCCCTTCTTTGTAAGTTCGTTATCTCGGGTATAATGTTGCAGTGACAGAAAGCTAACTAACACAGGAGTCACACTACTACCAGACAAAATAAACTGGAAGTTGAGAAGTTACACCACCAGGCGTGCTGGCCCACACCTATTAATCCCAGCATGTGGGAAGCCGAGGCAAGAGGAACCTAATTAATTCAAAGTCAGCCTGAGCTATGCAGGTGAGTTCAGCCTGGGCTATGGGGCAAGCCTCAGTCCCATTGAACAAAAAACAAACAGGGGCTGGAAGAGATGGCTTAGCAACTAAGAGCACAGGCTGCTCTTCCAGGGGACCCAGGCTTGTTACCCACACCCACAGGTGATTCAACCAATTCCCTTTTCTGACCTCCATGGGCACCAGGTATGTATGTGGTGCTCATACTTGCAAGTAGGCAAAATACTCATACACCTAAAATAAAAAATAAAATATTTTAAAAACAAATAGCTGGGAGGTGGTGGTGCACGCCTTTGATCCCAGCACCTCGTAGGCAGAGGGAGGCGGATCTCTGAGTAGGAGGCCAGCCTGGTCTACAGAGTGAGTTCCAGGACAGCCAGGGCTACACAGAGAAACCCTGTCTTGGAAAAACAATAACAATAATAATAATAATAAACAAGTTACACACACAAAAGGCACACTGTATACCAACAAAAAGGTCATTGCGCAAGGAAGATAAAATGACTGTCATGGAACCCAGCATCAGAATCAAGAGAAAGAAAAGCAGACACAGACAGACGTGAGGGAGGCCGAGACAGCTGAATTTATCTTTATAATAGAGGTAGTACACAGATGGATGTTAATGTTTTCACAAAGAAGGTTTCAACAACCCCGCCTCACCCCACCAAATGAGCCTGCCAGACACATACACAGCATTCCAGCACCTTCTTAAGCACACACAGAACACTTGCCAGAGTAGGTCATGATAGGCCACAAAACAAGCCTGAAATTTAGGAAGACTAAAATAATGTAAGTGTCTTTGCCTACCATAAGGCTGGAAAGCCCTAGAAATCAACAGCCAAAGGAAAACTGGAAGGTTCACCAATATGTGGAAATTGACAAATAACCTAAATAACATCGCATAGTCACACAGTTTCAAAAAGAAAATGTGTGTGTGTGTGTGTGTGTGTGTGTGTGAACTAGAAAATACTGTGAGACAAATGAAGATGAAAACACAGATCTCTACAATTCACAGTGAAAGCCATGCTAACAGGGAAGTCTATAGCAATTAATGCCTACATAAAAAAATAAGGGTAAATTCTCAGAAATTACACAGCTTTACACTTGAAGAAGCTGGTCAACAGACAGGCTAAGATAAGGCTAGCAGAGAAAAAGTAACAACCAGGGCAGACGTGAGGGAGATGGAAAAGCAGTCAGACTTTGATAGTCGGTCTTGTTGAAAACTGATAAATCTTTAGCTAATTTAGTGGGGAGAAAAGGAAGATTCCAAATTAGAAACAAAAGGCATTGCAATGAAAGTCATAAAAACAAAGAGGCTTAAGAGCCTATGAGCAGACCAACAAATGGGATATCTGGGGAGATGTCAAAATTCCTGGAAATACGCAGCCCGCCAACACTGTAAAACAGAAAATCGGGACGGGAGAGTTGGCCCCGTGGTTATGAGCCAACACCCATGTGATGGCTTACAGCCATCAGTAACTCCAATCCCAGGGGATCTAATGACCTCCTCTGACCTCCACAGGTACAGACAGGCAGATAAAACACCCAAACACATAAAAGAAGTTAATCTTTTACAGAGAAAGAAAGAGCGAGAAGAAATAGAGAAGTTGGATAAACCTTTAATTAGTAAGAGAGACTGATTTTATCATGAAAAACTTCCAACAAGAAGCCCTGAACCAAATGGCTTCCCTGCCAAAGTCTACAAGACACTCAAAGAAGAATTAATATTTTTTGCAAAGTCCCCCAAAAGCTGAAGAGGAGGGAATGCTTCCAAACCTGTTTTATGAGGCCAGCTACATCTTGATAACAAAGCCAGACAAGGACCCATAAACACTGAATTCATTATTTAAAACAAACAAACAAAAAAGACTATATGCTTCTAAGAATGAAGAAAACACAGTCTATGCCTACAGGGAGGATTACGGGGTCTTCAAAACTAATTCTGACACCTGCCACGCACAGCTGGACTGTGAGGACTGGATCTGCGGTGAAAAGCCAGAAGCAGACACACACACTATGAGCCCACTTACACAAGACACCTAAGCCAGATTCAGACAGCAGCAAGTGAAGCAGTGGGTGCCAGGCCCCAGGGGAAATAAATGGGGAGTAGCTGTCCAGAAAGCACAGAACTTCAGCTGTAAAAGATGAGTTTGGGGCTCAGCCAGTGCATATAGTTTTGTTGACAACTGATAAATTCTTATAGTTAATTTAATGATCAATGGAAAAAAGGAAGATTCAAAATTAGAAATAAAAGACATTGCATTGGAAGTCACAAAAAAAAAAAAAGAAAAGAATTGTTAAGAGACCGTGAGCAGACCAACCAGTGGACTAGCCCTTCGACACTGATCACTTAAAATTGTGTTACAAAGGATAGATTTCCTGTGCCTACAGACACATACACACACCAGGAGAAATATTGACAGGAGGGTTGGGAATATTTGATTCAATACTTTTGAATCAAATTACTAAGTCTTCATTGGAATGATGACTATTGTGTAGCCATTTCGTTAGTGGAGTGGAAAATGTGGGGGAAAGCTAAAATCCCAATGACTTTATAAGGTGCTTGCAGCTCCACCCTCAATATATGAAGTTCACTATTCAAAAGGCTCTTGACTCCTGACTTATCAGACAACCTGTGCTATGAAATCACCCAGAAAAAGCAATAAGGGACAAAACTCTTCGTGTCAGCCTGAAGTCGTCCCAGAAGTGAGGGTCAAAATTAGGACTCACTGTGATAGAATTCATACCATATACCACAGGGCCCCTTTCCCCCCCCCCCAAAAAAAAAAGTGTACCTAAGTGCTATTTAGGATAATAACAGAATTGTGTATCCATTGCCACCAACTTCAAGAACATTCCTCTTGCCCCCAACATCAACCCTACTGCCCATCTTCCCTTCCTCTTGGGTCCTGGAAATCACTACCCTACCCTGTCTTTGTGAACTTGCCTTCTCTGTAGTCATTTCTTTTGAGCACATGCCATCTCCTTTGATATGGCATAACTTATTGAAATTATTGTAGTGACACCAAAGGCAGTGAGCTGTAGGGAGCACATCCTTGAGGTTAGAGAGTGCACTGGGTGGTTTTGTGTGTCATCTGACACAAGCAGAAGGCATCAGAGAGGAAGGCATCTCAGTTGAGGAAATGCCTCCGTGAGATCCAGCTGTGTAGTAATATGAGTGGCGGGGCTGCGTCCCCAGCACTCCGGCTGCCCACATGGCTAGCTTATGCCCGAAATAACAACACACAAACTGTATTCATTTAAACACTGCTTGGCCCTTTAGCTCTAGCCCTTACAGGCTAATTCTCACATCCAGATCAACCCATCTCTAATAATCTGTGAGAACAGGTCTTACCGGGAAGATTCTAGCCTAGTCCATCCTGGGTCGGAGCTTCATGGCGTGTGTCTGCCCGGGAGCGGGGCATGGCGTCTCTCTCAGTCGTCTGCTCCCGAGAGGAGAGCTGTGGAGTCTGAGCTCACTTCCTCTTCCTCCCAGCGTTCTGTTCTGTTTACTCCTCCCACCTATCTTCTAGCCAATGAGGGCCAAGCAGTTTCTTTTTATTTAACCAATGACCTTCCTCCATCACAGCTGCATGGAGTTTTCTCATTTCATGATCAATGAGGGGGGCCCAGGCCATGGTGGGTGGTGCGATCCCTGGGCTGGTGGTCCTGGGTTCTATAAGAAAGCAGGCTAAGCAAGCCATGGGAAGCAAGTCAGTAAGCAGCTCCCCTCCATGGCTTCTGCATCAGCTCCTGCCTCCAGATTCCTGCCTGCTTGGGTTCCTGTCCTGACTTCCTTCAGTGATGAACAGCAATGCTGAAGTGTAAGCCTAATAAACCCTTTCCTCCCCAGCTTGCATTGGCCATGGTGTTTCGTAGCAGCAATAGAAACCTTAAGAC